TTTTTTAATTATGTTCTCTTCAAAATGTAAAATTTTGAATTGAAAAAAGTATATTATGGTTTAATTTAATGTGGCTCAGTAACATCGTCTTAAATTGCTTCGGTTTTTTGAGTTATTTTATGTTGGTGAAAGCTTTACTCAGATTTTGGCCAGTTTCTCCGATATAAAAAAGTTCGCAATTAGAGCAATTAATCTGGTATACCAAGTTCCTGAGGCGGTCAGAATTAAACTTAGATTTAATTTGTGTAAAAATTGAACTAAGGGTTGTATCGCAATTACATACCAACACAATGCCACATTGTTGAAACAATTTTTTCTATGAAAAATATATATATATATATATATATATATTATATACACATACATACATACAAGTTTATATTTCACCTGTGTTTCATATTTGTGAACTTTTTTTTGTGTTTTTTAGTATAGTTTACATTTTGTTTGTTTATTTGTTCAACCTTAGCTTTCCTATCTCCCTTTTTTCTTTTTTACAATCTAAATGTTTTCAATGATCCTATTTTCTTCAACGGCGATTTTGTCACTTTCTTGATTTAGAATCCTCTCCAAAATAATTCAAGTATTTTAATTGATATTTACCATACAGCAACTAGCATGATTTATAAGATTTGAATATAATAAATTTTTGAAGGTAAAAGGTTACTGCCATATTAAATACTAAAGAAATAACAGTATTATGATTGCTTCATTAAAGGTAATTTGGATAATGTAACAGTACTAATAGGAATAGCAGTTGACGGTAAAGCTATTGGAGGAGTGATTCATCAACCATTTTTTGAGAATAGCAAAGGTCGCACAATTTGGGGTTTGAGAGGAATAGGCTTCAGTGGCATTACTTTAAGCAATCGTCTACAGAACAGGTATATCACCTTCAGATTTTCATGCTTATAACGATAGACACATTTACAGGTTTTTTTTTAGATTAGTAATTACCACTTCACGGTCTCACACTGACTCTAATGTGGTAGCAGCAATAAACGAATTACAACCAGATGAAGTCTTACATGTCGGAGGTGCAGGTTTTAAGGTAGATTTTAATACATATTTTGTTTTTATTATTTTTATCACTTATTTCTGTATTTATATGAAGTTTCAATGATACGAAGCTACAAACTTTTTTCAATATTGCAATTGCACAATGGAATTAAATGGAATTTGAGGCAAATACAAAATTGTGAACTTTAAGCTTTAACACAGATGTTGACTTGATAATAATTTTTGTCAAATGATATTTTTGAAAAATGCCATAATTTTCAGGTATAAACATATTTGATTATAATTGCCAGATACATCATATGGCAAATGATATTAGCCATTATGATTAAAATCTGAATCAATAAGATTTCAGGTGAATATTAGTATAAGGGCTACATAGTTCACAAACTTTTTTTTTCTTGTTATATGAAAAGAGTTTATTTCAACACACATTCACAATCATTTCTTGCATTTTGGTTGTAACTTGAATATATTTAATACATTTTATGCTCTTTTATATTTACTAGGTCATACAGTTACTTGATGGAAGCGCAAATGCGTATGTATTTGCTAGTCCAGGGTGTAAGAAATGGGATACCTGCGCACCTGAAGCTATATTAGAAATAGCAGGAGGAATGCTGACTGATGTTTTCGGGAACAAATATGTTTATGACAAAGATGTTCAATATCCTAACTCTAAGGGTGTAATTGCTACAGCACCTTGTTTGAACCACACCGATCTTATCAATAAAATGTCCCAGGAAATAAAATCTAAATTAATGAATTAGCTAATAATGATGTAATATAACTAAATATATATTATATATATATACTTGCAAATTTTGTTGAATATTTTGTTTCAATATACGTTTACTGTTATCAAAAATGATTGAATCTTGACAATCCATTAACATTCTCATTGTTTTAAGATTGCAGGTTGTTTTCTTAAACATATTTTTCAAGTTATTAAACCAGAACAGTATAGATCAAAATAAATTAAAATTGAATTGAATTTCAAATGGCCTTTGAGATTACTAATAACTTCAAATGCTCAATCTGAAAAATTTTGTAATGCATATGGTTTTTGCTCTTTTACCCTGTATTAAAACTAATTAAATTTAATTAATACTATTTCAAATATTTGTGCAAATCTTCTATTTTTGATCATCTCAATTACTACCAATGAAGGAATTTTCAGATTTCAGAAAGAGCATGTCCAATACGTTGAAAAAGAAATAATTTCTTTCAAAATCATCAATTTTATTAATACTTCAGTTTAGTTTTAATTTGTATTTTTCAATACATTTTCAATTTTTCTATAGATAGTTTTAGGTAAATTGTGAGTAATTTCTTGATAATTTTAATGAAACTTTGTGTAATGATCAAGTTCATGGTCATAGTGAACATCCTAAAACATTGCAGACTAAATAAAATAAATATATAAATTCAAATATAAAATAATACATAAATGTTAAACATATTAGTATAATTTTTTTTTTTTTATTTCATCACTCAGTTTTTTACAAATAATATGTGATAATCTATTGACGATACATTTTACAAAGAAAACGCAACTGCAACATTTCTACTTGGTCTTTCATTCTGATAACTCCATCAGGACCATCAGATGACAACAATATCCCTACCGATTCACGATGTACGCCCATTATAACCTTGACATAATCATTAATTGCAGGTTGAACTGGTTCTAAATGATCACATTCTATATTCACAGAACGATCTTCAGCTGGCAAAAACACTGTGCACATTCCTCCTTGTAACCCTTTGATGACACCAGTTTGATTAGCTAGTCCTCTGTCTGGATGACTATCGCTAATGCGAACCTCAATATCTGTTGTATGCCAGTCAGACCCAGAAAGTGAATCCAAACTAGCTCCAGGAGTTTGTGGATTATATGGTGATTGCGGTGCACCTGCTGGGGTACCAGGTGAGTATGATGTCGGTGAGGGTGTGCCCATATACGTGCTGGCTTGATACCCTGAAGGGCTTGGGCTTGGTTGATATGGACTATAACTATCAGATCCATACATGATTGATCCTGGTGTTTGGGGAGTATAAGGACCTGATTGATATACGCCTGGAGTATTAGGATTGAAAGGACTGGGAGAACTCTCGTCCAAATAAGAAGATTCAAAATCATTACTTCGAGCAGGTGTATTTGTAATATTAGCATCCCATGCTCCTTGTCCAGGTGTTTGACTTCCATCGTGTGAAGGTGTCATAGAACCATAGTGGGGAGTTCGAGATCCAGAGTTGTATACAGGAGTATATGAACCAAGCATTGGTGTACGACCTTCTCTATTATATTGTGGAGTTTGAAAGCCATAAGCAGGTGTGCGACCAGGTGTACGGCCATATGTGGAAAATCCACCTTCCTTTGCAGGTGCTCCAACTTTTGCAATGTGTCCTCTATCGACTGATATGGTCTGACATGAAGCATGCAATTCAACACGAGCAGTACTTTCAGTTGCATCTTTGACAATTCCAACATTGCCTTTGTAAGGTCCACCAGTAATTTTAATAGTTGTACCAATTATATCCCGGTCTCTAGTGACTCTATTAGCACCTCCGCGTCCTCTTCCGCGACCACCCCCTCCGCCACCCCTTCCAGATGGATGCATTGGAGACTGTATTCTAGGTGACATAAAACCTAAGCCATTCAATCCTGTAGCATTTGCATTACTATGACGTGCTCCACCTGCTAATTGTACATGTCTTGTTTTGCATACAAAATACCACCATTATCTAAATACATTCTTGAATATAGAAAAACATAATTTCTGTACAAATGTTTTATTTCACCATCTCGACCAGCATGTGGGCCATCACACACCTTCACTATGTCTCTCTTTGATATGCTATTTTGATCAGTATCTAATGCAACTGTAAAACGATTTTCTTTCGTTTTTGTAGAGCTTGCGGTTTGCATTCCATCAATTTTCCATTCATTCCTAATACATGAAAGTTTTCTCTTTCTAATCGAACAATTACTCCTACATTCATAGCATCTAACTGCACTAAATCACCCCATTGAAACTGCCCTAATGAATCAACACCAGTAGCCATATCTGAGCACAGCTGTAAATCTCTTGGAAGAACTTCTAATTCATGCATTGTCAAATCAGATACCAAAACAACCCTTGTAGTATCCACACGAACTATAAGCCCTGTTTCCCCTTCATAACGACCAGCCAAAACTTTCACATGATCACCTGTTTTAAAAAACTTTCTTAATTCATTAGCTTTGAAAATTAAGGGATCCGTTAGTTCAGAATGTTTTGGTAGAACTGTAATCATAGAACCATCGATAGCAATAATTTTACATGGTAAGTTCTCCAAGTCACCCACAGCCACCTCAACATTATCGCCCATGGAAAATGAGTGCAAACTGTTGGGATCATCTTTAGAAGGAGCTGCTAATTCAATATCAATACCCTCGGGTTGCTCTTCAAATCGCTCCAATTCAGAAAGTGTAGGCTTAACACCTTCAGCAAGAATCGCAGACATTGTAAAATTTTTAAACATAAAACCTTTTCGTGAAAAACGATTTCCTTCAAATATTAAAAAATCACCATCTGATGTAACTTCACCACCAATAGCTCTAATAGCTTCAGGATCAAAAGGTTTTGCAACCGGCCTTCTTTTCTTTTTCGTTTTGCAGCCTCTGAATCACTTTGCACAGTACGTAGAGCACCTCGCAATCTAGTATAATCAATCCTAGGCAATAATTTCAAATGCACATTGTTCTGAGCCAAATCTATATAGTCCACCTGTGCTATGTCATCCTTATACAACCCTCGCTTTAGTCTAACCCACTGCTTAGGTTTCAATCCTGTTTGCTCTCTGACAACTCTCAAGACATCCGTCATTTCTTTAATAGGAACCATTTCTTGTTTCCAAGTGCCCATTCTCAAATTCCCAACATTATCGATAGCTGCTTTTACATGAGTCTGTTTATAAGATTCTATGTAAATGTAACCTTTTACTCCTTCTGGAGCAATTACAGATTTTATCTGCAATGGTGCATCACTATTTTGGTAGGCAATAAACTTACGCATAAGTAATAAAACTGTAGCCTTTTCTTCGCCAATTCGACATTTAACCATCCATAAATTGGGATCTTTAATTCCTGGCAGAAGAGTTTGTTGAGTTATTTCATCAGACATTTCCTCACCTCCGTCACCAAAAGAACGAACCGCAAGTGTTTCATCAGCATATTTCTTCTTCAATATTCTTCAATCTCGTCCTCTTTCTGTGAATCCCACAAATTAGTTCCTCGTCGCCTTCCTTCAATCTCACGGGCTGTAGGACCTAATTCATCAACTTCATTCCCAACAATACCCATTTCTTGAGCTCCTTCTTCCCACTCATCATCTTCATCAACTTCATCATCCACTTCAGCTTCGTCTATAATAAATCCACTAAATCTATCCTTCTTTTTTTTCTTTCGAGGTCTATCATCATCTTCATCCTCTTCCTCTTCTTCATCATATTCTTCTGAATCTAAATCTTCTCCTTCAGGTTCTTGTTCATCCGCTACTTCTTCATCACCGGATGCTTCCCTAGCCTCATCATCACGGTTTCCATTCCTATTATGTTCCACATCAGAACCTGAGCCTGAATTTGAATGAGATGATCTTGAACGAGATCTACTTCTTGAAATTGATCTAGAGATTGATCTTGACCTCTTTTTCCTCTTTGAATGATTAGATTCGACACTGCCCACTTCTGAACCTGAGTCAGAGTAATGACTTTCTTCTGAATCAGACATTTTGGTCCTTTTTTTCGATTACACAAATAAGTTGTGTAAAGTGTCCTTTATTTATTTCTTTTTGAATTACTCTTACCTGCCATAAAATAAAAAAATATCACTGTTTAAATATCAGTGTTTATCATATTATTTTTAATATATAACATAATGTTAATGAAACTTAATTTTTAGTTTCATATATAAACAATTACCTCAAAATTAATTGCAAACTGCGTTAATTCATACAAAATAATAAACTTAATTTATTTATATAAATCATAAACTTAATTTTATTAATAATGATACATTAATGCAAATAATATATAAATGATTTCAAAAAATTACCAATGTATTTAAACGAAAATTTGTTTGATCAGCATGGATTCATGTCATTCATTCGTAAAAACTTATATTCGTTATAACGAATTCCATAATTAAACAGAGTTCAAACACATTACCTAAGTTAAAAAATATGTTGTTCAACGCTTAATCGAAACAAATTTTATTTTTCTAACATTTGACAATTACTAAGAAACTATAAAATCAACCATTCAATAAAGCCGATGACGTTTGCCGTAGCAAACAATTCCTGGGATATGAAACAGCGTAAAATGAAATCTTTAAGTTGTGGCCGACGCCCGAGTAGCGTCGCAACGATAGCTAACAAAACATAAAACCATAGATAAAAGAAGAGTATATGCAAAAAACCTAAATTCATAGATAAAGGAAGAGTAGAGCCTAAATTATATTACTTATATTACCTAAATTATGTTTACTTATCTATGCTTATATATATATATATATATATATCTTGATAGTTATATATATTGATATATATATATATATATATATATATATATATATATGCATGGCCGGTAATCTCGGAACAAACATCTGTAATCTCGTTTTTAGTTCCCTCTCCCTCGTTTGGAGCGCTAGTAGCGCTACAAAACGGGCTAAACAAAATATTCGAGAATCTAATATGGCGGAATAATATTTTAGTGTCAAAGTGTCAAA